GATGTGCCTGCTTTGACCCACTTATTCAGCAGTTGACGACAATCCTTGTTCTGCTTGCTCAAACCTTTCTTAAATAGTTACATCTTGGCATGTCCTATATCAATGGGAAAAGCATCCTGATTTTATTTACCTCTGTTATCATGTATTCCATAATCCTATATGTCATGATTCAGAAAGTAGCTTTAAGGCGCATAGGCGGGCCCACTACGATGAATTTTTGCGGGTGAAAGAACTCATTCGAGAAGGATCTTTGACCATTGAAGATGAATCCGATGAAGAGAGCAGTGCTGAGAAGAAGAGAGATGGAGGTTGTGAGTCTTCATCGTCATCTTTAATTGCGACAGCTAATAATAAGGACGTGGACATTGGGGAAGGCCATGAGTCTAAACAGTCTTCTTCACCAACTGATGGAGCTTAGAAGCTGATTCCAAAATAATCCTCTGCTTTTACAGAGCTATTTTCATCATCATTTAATGCCATGACACTGATTTGAACGCTTTGCCTTTGTGTGTTTCTCCAGGCGCAGTTGTGAACTTGTGAAAGTGTAAATAGACTTCTGAAATGTTTTTTAGGTTATAATCTGATTGTATTTCTACAATGTGGATCATTTCTTAATTTTAATAAAACCTTTTGTTTTGATGGCTACTTATTATCTCGTATATTGCGGTATTGCCATGTAGTGTTCATGTGTTACACATCTTTGTTTGAACTCTTTAAAGTGCTTCTCCAACAATAGCTGCTTATTTCCAACTCTGGACGGAATTGCAACTTGGGAAAAATGCCCTAGTAATAAAGTAAGTTTTGCTCTGTTCATAAAAAAAAAGAGTGGTGCTTGGTCAAAGAACTAAATACCCCAAAACCATGAAAGAAGAAACTACGCACCGTTTTTATGTAAATTATAATTGATCGTAAATTAGTTGTTTTACGTATAAAACAAAGTCTTTCATTGTTTAAAACAAAAAATAAGGCATGATCACACTGAACATTACTATATAAATGTGAAGTTTCAGTAAGAACTAAACAATAAATTAAGAACCATGGTTAAATTACAATCTTTCTCAAATGATAATAGAGATTCAAAAAGTTGAAGAACCTACTTTGAAAAATGATTTGATAAACTAAAAAGAAAATAAATAGAAATAATAAAACGGTGTTTCGATGACATCTGTGTGACACTCTCATGGAGGAGGTCACGGGTTTGAAACTATAATATATACTATAATATGTGACAAAGTATACACAAAAAAATAGTTGACCACAAAAGAATTATTCCATTTGAGGTTATAAAATATTCACAAAAGGAATTACATATAGATGAAATGGACCATTATTTTGGTTAGTATAATAATATGGAAGTTATAAATTTATACTTTTATGAAAGTACTTTAAAAAAGAACACTTTTATATTAATTTTTATATTATCAATAACTTCCAATAAAATATATAGTTGGTCAAAGTTGTAAAGATGACAAAGTTTTTTGGGAGGGAAGTAACAGAAAAGTTGTTAGAATATTACGGGGTATTTTATTGTGTTCAAATTAATTGTAATTTAATTAATGAGTCTTTGTATTTAATTAGATTAGCTGAGAGAGAATTAGACCTGATTTAAAAGCTCTACATAGCCCACACGCACGGCCCATATTATTTCCTAATTGTAATAGGGCTGATCAAGTCTCTCACCTATAAATATAGGATGAGATGGCCGAATCAGCTTTTGAAGTCTCTACACATTCTATTCCGCATATTATTCTCTGTAGAGCCAGTAGACTAGAATTTCTCTCTCTAGCTGATACGTTTGAGTAATGTGTAATTGTTCTTCATGGATACATCATTCTATATACACGGTATACGTTATTGATGAAATTTCTCTTCCACTGTTTAAATTCTATTCAATATTATTAGATTATTTGACTGTTGTATCTGGGCATATCTCACACAATTGGTATCAGAGCCTCGGCGCAATTCTGTTCTTCAGATTTCTTGAATTTTTCTGGAATTAATCTGATCAAAATCACAATTTTTGGTCAGATTAATTGTTAGATTTGTTCTTGGAAACATACTGTTAATTTCTGTTTAGAAAACTCTAAAGAAATCAAAACTTACACACGCTAAAAAAAGGTTTCATAACCATTTGAAAAGACCCTATTGGGGGATTGAGGTCCTCTCCCATAAAGGCAAGACAATGTGTCTTAGAGCACCCACAATGGAGGGTCAACTTAGATCACAAAACAAAAGTAATGGGGGTTGACCCCCAGTCCCCACTATGGAAGCTCACCTTATGATCGATCAAGTTGCTAGATCAAAAATGAAATCTGACAATTTTCTTTAATCTAGCCAAGTGGAGCCTCGGCCAAATGCAAAAGAGGAATTCTCCGCTCAAATTTCTAGCCACAAACTTCACCACCAAATGAATGATAGAGATTAAAACCTAGATCTTCTTTTCTGCTAAACCAAGTGAGAGATGCCGGTATCCCTTATTGGAACATTGGGTTGGGCCACTATTTGTAAGGATATAATTCGACTCAACCCCTTAAGAGGATGTTGGGTTCCCTAGGAAGTCCAATTTGACCCATTGGATTAAAATCATTAGAAAGTGATCATGACTCATGAAGATGAAGCTTGGGTCTCCTCTCCCCTATTTCGTCCCTTCGCTGCATAACCATCCTCAACAGCAAAGTCCTTCGCTGAATCTGATAAAATAATGCTCTCTTCTTTACCTGCACTTGCATTCTCATACAGAAACTCCATTCTCCAAGCGGCGCTCGCTCTTTCACTCACTTTCTTCCTCTACTTCTTCGATATCTCGGATTTGTTTCTCCATGGCCTCTTCACCTATGTCCACCCAGACGATGTCAACCCTACTCCTTCATCAAATGGTGTCAGGGCTGCGATTCGACGCCCAGGTAGTGTTGATTCTGAACTCAGACCTAGAAAAAAGCCCTCCAAGGATAAATTTGAATTCGATGAAAATAAAGCTCAGATCTTTAGGCTAAAGCTCATCGGCTCTCACCTCCAAACGAGAATTTATTTCAGTGAGTTCAAAAGTGCTTTCAGTTCCACTGTCTTAGCTCTTTCTTGCTTCTTGCTTGACCTGTTCTTGGGGAAATCCGAAGATGCCGGGTTGTTCGGGAATGGATCTATTGTTCCTATTTTATTAGGATGTTTTGCGTTATGTAGGATGTTTATCTCATTAGCTAGGACTGCTTTTGAGAGGTCGGCTTCTAAGAGTATAGAGAAGAAATTTAGTTTTCTTGTTGGGATTTTAGGGTTTGTCTTGGGACTAATCATAGTATCTGGGGTTGTCCCGAAATGGATTCTTGATTTCAGTTGCGGGTCATTGGGTGGTTTTGGGAAGTTTATAACTTCTGTTTTCATGGGCTGCATTGCGGGCCTCCTTTGTACACCAGCATTGAGGACAGCCCGGTCATTTTGGCTCGGAACGGATCAGATTCGGTCTAATTTATCAATAATTTCTTGTGGATGGTTTCCAAGAATGCTTCTTTACATTAACTATATCTGGAATGTTTTTACTTCATTGCTTTGGATTACTCCTTTCTCTGAAATACTAGTCGACAAGAATTTTGTGGGAATGTGTAGATCAGACTTTGAGAGATTTAGACATGGGTGTTTATTAACTTCGGGTGTACTTCAGGTTTTGACTCTTCGGTCAACCGTGCAAATGTATTTGAACGAAGCAGTGTTATGTTGGTACCAAAGATTGCATTGTAGCAAAGTGCCCGAACTGGAGTATAGTAGGGCAAAGGTTTTCCTTCATAACCATTATCTATGTCTTGTGGCTTTGCAGTATTTTGTTCCTGCAGCTATGGTGCTTCTCTTCAATGGCTTGTCTGTAATTGGCCGTGATGAGTTGGTCAAGAGTTCCCCGTGGGGTTGTAGCTTCTTGCCTTGCGCTTGGCTGGATAAAGAATTGGTTTTGTTCATGGCTTGGTGGGTTGTGTTTGTTTGGGCCGTTTTTAATTCTTTGGCTCTGGGATTGTATCGACACGGAATCTTGTTCGTTTCTTGATGATTTTTCTGTTTTGAGAAAAGATAATTTATTCCTTCCACGATTTGGTGATTTACAAGAAGAGATGGGTAAATCACACAATTCCAATGGATTTGCATTTTCTCTTTGTATAAAGGATTTTGTTTGGTTTCAATCCTTTTGCAAGTGCCATTGATGAGGATAATGTTGAATACTATAGGAGTATAGGGCATAGCTATGGAGAATGTAGTTGCTGAAGATCCTCTCTTTAAAAAGTGCAAACTCCAATTGCTTTCGCTGTTGGTGGATAGACTAAGCTTACTCTTGTTTCTGGTTTTAAAAAATGTAAAAATCATGAACATGAAAATGATTCCACTGCCATAATCTTTGTTATTAGTTGCCTATCTGAATTTTATTACTTCATTACTTTTACTAACTAATCCATCCATACCAAAATATATGAGACATCTTTTATTTTGTTTAATGCACATCAGTTGTGGTGAAGATAAGTGAAGTGTGCTTTGATTTACCTTACAGTCCTTCAAGGTTGACCAACTTTGTTTAATTCTTGAAGAAGTTCCACATTTGACTTCTTTGGATGTAAGGAAAAAGTAAATTATTGGTTTACTTTCCACTTTTGCCCTTAATGAGATACACGACCATATGAAGGAAGAAAAAGGGGGAATGAGTAGTGGAAGGGGGTAAAACACATCTATTCCAAAAAAGGAATCATTACAAGTCTATCCCACTTTTAAACACCCTACATGTATTTCGGCCATACAATCAAAATTTTCCTTCCAAATTTTAATTTTCCCTCCCAATTGCAAAGTTCACACACACTTTCTATAAATAGACATCATAAAAGCTTCTTCTTCAGCTTTTATGAGTTCCATCTACCCCTCCAACAACATGGACAGCTCACACGACCAACTTGGTGCAGAAGAAAATGGCAGCTTTGATGTTAACCTGCCACCTCCAACTGAAGCTAATCCTCTTCTCATTTTACCTGCAGCCATAGAAATACAATAGGGAGGGGAATCATCTCAACAACAAGGTATGCACAGAAAATGTCCCAAACTTACTGATGACTAAAGAAAAAGAATTGTGCAAATTATGTTAAGCAATTCACAGGGTCTTAAACTTCAGAGGGGCCTTATCAAGAAAATAGCTTTGGAATTCAATGTATCAACAAAGACGATCCAAAAACTGTGGCGCAAATCAAAACAAGAATTGCAGTTAAACCTAGCAATTAATGTGCAGAGCAAGAGAAGAGACATGTGGGGAGAAAACCATATACACTTGACTTGCAAAAAGTGGCAGACATTCCATATCACCAAAGGAAAAACATGAGGGCTTTGGCCTTTGCCATGGGTGGGTCACAGACCACATTACATAGGTGGGTTAAAAGGAAATAACTCAAAAGGCACTCCAATGCAATCAGACCCCTATTAAGTGATTTGGGAAAGCCAAAGAGGTTACACTTTTGCTTGAAACACATTACTCCTGTCTCACTGCCCTCTACCCGTACATTTCATGACTTCTATGATACCATACACATAGATGAGAAGTGGTTTTATTTGTCCAAAGAAACCACCACTTTCTACACCACTCCCAGTGAAGAGGACCCCTACGGGACTGCTCAGTCAAAAAAATCCACACCAAAAATCATGTTCTTAGCAGCTGTGGGGAGACCAAGACTGAGGGACAATGAGAAAGTATTGTGGGATGAGAAAGTGGGGATCTTTCCTTTCACTTATGAAGACACAACCAAAAGAAGCAGTAAAAATAGACCAACAGAAACACTAGAGACAAAGGCATCAGTAAACATTACACGTTTAGTCATCAAAGAGATGATACTGAATGAACCATTGCCAGCAATAAAACAGACATGGCCAGATGCAGACAACAGGAGAGTTATCATTCAACAGGACAATGCAAGGCCTCATATTGACATTAATGATCCTGATTTTGTGAGAGAAGGGACTGAGGATGGATGGAATATCCAATTGACATGTCAACCACCTAATAGTGCAGACCTTAATGTCTTGGACTTGGGGTTTTTCAGGGCAATAGATGCCATTAAATATCAGAAAGCTCTCAAAACTATCACATCATTTAATGAGCTGACACCAACAACACTCAACAAGGTATTCTTAAGCTATCAATGTGTAATGGAACATGTGATTACACAGAATGGTGGAAACAATTTCAAATTGAAGCACATGGGTAAGGACAGATTACACAGGCAGGGGCAGCTACCAAACAATGTGCAAATCTCTCAAGAACTATATGAGATAGCAATGGCACATGTCGCAACTACCACATGATAGGCAGCAATGGAAAGGCATGAGTTCATGTTTGAAGATGTACCACACCTTCACACTTGAACTATCAGATTGCATTGAATTCAGTTAAGTTTTTGTGATAGTGCATATATTTTTGGTAGTACTTTAGTAGTGCACATTTTTGTAAGCACATAGTAGTTGGCAGACAATGCAATGCAATATGTATTGACCAACATAGTGTACACCAATTTAATTTTTACCCAAATGTAAGAAAATGGTGATTTTTGGTAATGTATGCAAGTCAAATGCAAGATTGGAATATACACACACTGTTAAACAATCTCATGTCTACCATAAAGCAACACAATAAGGCCCCTATCATCATCAGTTTGAAATGGGGTTCACCATATCATCACCACACATTTCAGGTTACTACACATATGCATAGGCATCACATTTCACATTACAACACATATACACTGACATCACACATATACGGGCAACAACACATATGCAACACATACATCACATAAAATCAGTGCAATAAAATGAAAAAGGGTTTAAGATGAGTACTACCCTTTTCCTTCATTCTTGTCATCTGAATCTATCCCCTTCCTGCCTTCCTCTTCTTCCCCGCCGTCACTGCCATCCTCTGCATGCAGCCCCACGCTGCCTTCCTCTTCCTTGTCCGACAGTCCATCCATCACCACTCCCGAATTGACTTCTTCTCCTTCGGAATCCTCGAAACCTTGTAATCCATTGTAGGTATCAGAAACAAGATTTGAACCATATTTCTTCCGGATCCACCAGTCGGGATCAGATTCAGACGAATCCTGACTTCTGAACCGCACAACACAAAGTTTAAGAGGAAATGGCCTATGAGATTCTGAAATAGGGGATGAAACTTGCGGATCTGGCTTTGGAGATGAGGGTTCGTCAAGTCCATGTAAAGGTGGAGACGATTTCGGATGAGATGGATCCATGCACCGTGGAAGTGGTAGAGGCCGGTGGGTTTCAATGTAGCGATAGATGGGTTTCAGAGAAGAAGGGTTTCAGAGAGGGGTTGCGATGGAAGGAGTTTTGAGGGGTAGCGTAGGGGGAGCTGCAGGGGGTAACGACGGAAGGGGTTTACGAACGGTGGCGACGGAGGAGGGTGGAGGTGGGGGAATGAAGGGTTGCAGAAGGGGGGGGGGGGGAGAGACGCTGACAAAGGAGAGATTGATGTGAGGTGCGTAGGGGGATAAAAAACATGGAGTAGTAAATGGGGAAAATATAGAAAAGGGATATGGGGTAAAATAGTAAATGGATTGGAAAAAGTTATCAAATATATAAAGTGGAACTTTATTTTGGAACTACCCGAAAAGGTAAGGTGGAACTTGTTTCAGAAACGGAGGGAGTAGTTAGTGGAGGATAACAAGTTTGTAACATGAACAAGTCAGATAAAAAAGAAATGCACGACCAGATTCAAAGTATACGTTAAATTATTGAATGAGAAAGTAAATGTTTTTCATAATTCATGTTTGAATTAGATTCCCTCAAATTTAAGTAATACGGAGTATAAAAATAATTTCCCATTCAGAAGAGGAGAACATAATGATAGAAACAAGAATTACCTGAAGTTTGAGCTTTGTAAGTAAACAAGAATATATGCTGGTTTGCAAGTAATATCATTTCAAATTTCTGCCTTCTAACTTTCAAAGAGGTATGGAATTTATATACATTTTCAGACCTACCTATTGTTCAACACTCACAATACCTTACTAAATGGGACCTTAAATGTTTGCTCATAATATCACAAGTTAGTCACTAATCATAATAAGTATACTGTATACTTTTACTTGTTTTGTTTGGATGAAGTTGATTCTACTAAATGCTTTTACTTGATGAAAATCATCTTTATAGCCCTTAACGAACAAGCCCTTATTATTCTTCATGAGTTGATACACAGTATAAGCTGGAAATGGCTGCCAAATGGGGTCTTAGTTTGACATGATGTGCCTGCTTTAACCCACTTATTCAGCAGTTGACAACAATCCTTGTTCTTCTCACTCAAACCTTGCTTCAATAGTTACATCTTGGCATGTCCGATGAAGAGAGCTGTGCTGAGAAGAAGAGAGATGGAGGTTGTGAGTCTTCATCGTCATCTTTAATTGCGACAGCTAATAATAAGGATGTGGACATTGGGGAAGGCCATGAGTCTAAACAGTCTTCTTCACCAACTGATGGAGCTTAGAAGCTGATTCCAAAACAATCCTCTGCTCTTACAGAGCTATTTTCATCATCATTTAGTGCTATGACACTGATTTGGAGTTTGGACGCTTTCCCTTTGTGTGTTTCTCCAGAAGCAGTTGTGAACTTTTTTTTTGAGAATAGCAGTTGTGAACTTGTGAAGGTGTAAATATACTGTACATCTCAAATGTTTTTTTAGGTTATAAATCTGATTGTATTTCTACAATGCCCATTTGTTTTGTTTTGATGACCACTTGTTATCTTGCATATTGCCTTGTAGTGTTACATATTTCCAGTAGACAGATCATTGTGCCGTGCCCATTTGATCACATGCTTATTTCAATAGTGTTTAGCTGGACAATGTGTTTCTTTTTACTATATATAACAGCCAAAACACAATTTCTAAAGTTTATTTCAATAGTGTCTCTTTTACCCTTTTGGAAGTTGGCAAGTGTACACATCTCTCAAAACATCATCTTCGTTTGAACTCTTTAATGTTAGTGTTTGCAATAGTTTAAAAAACCGCTTCTCGGTTTTTGGTTTAAAAAGTTAAAACTAATGTTTTCAAGTAACAACTTCTACTCAAAAAGCGTTTCTCGACTTTTGGGTGAAAAATGCTTTTAACTTTTTCAACTAAACAAAACACACTTATTTTACTAAACACTACCAATTTTTACTTTTCAAAATCATTTTTTTCTCAAACACTATCAAGTTTTACTACTAATCACATTTTCCAAAATCACTTCAAAAAATGTTTTTTTTAAGCAAAAGCATTTGCAAACACTCCCTAAAAGTGCTTCTCCAACAATAGTAGCTTATCAGGGTCATATAATGAATTTAGAGGTCCCTGTCAATCAAAGATTCAATTAAATAAATTATTGAAAAATAATGCCCTTTGTATATGAAGTGTAGGCCCAATGTTATTTAATAATTTATTTAACTGACTTTCCTATTGAATTATAAGATGAAATTTTGTGAGCATAATCTCAACTTCATGAAGAACATCCTCACAAAATTTCTTCAAAATTAAGTGTAAAACTTATTTCAACAATCATAGGATAGAATAAAGATGATTAGAACACCGATTCATTACCAAAAAGGATTTCGAACTACATAGTCGGTAAGAAACGGTTGTTGATCTCTCCCTAGAGAGAGAAAGAGCAGCGCAGAAGTTCTATGGTATACCATGGATGCCTCTCTTTACTTAAGGGTTCCTGCCTATTCCTCCAGAATTTATAGATATGAGAAATAGGCCCATTACAAAATAGGCATCTACGAGACATATGAGCCTTAATCATAATGTGGCCCATTATCTATTAATTAGACTAAATACAACACAAATACACAATAATAAAACATGATTTAACACCACAAAACTATATCTAACAATATGGTTTGTGTGACAGATATAACCAAAATAAGTTATTTGTACAATCAATAAAATAATTATTGATACAGTAAGTTACTACCTCCGTTCCATTTAAAGAGTGGTTGAAAAAGTTAAAGGTGTTGTTGAGACTTGTATACAACAAAGTGAAATGTTGTTGACCACATATTTCTTTCCAAAAAATGAAATTGACACTTATTTTGTGACAATTCAAAATGAAAAATAAGACTCATAAAATGAGACAAAGAGAGTAACGTAATGTGTGTGTGGAGGCGCACACACATATGTGTGTATTTACGTATGTACTAATTGTCACATTTTTTTATATAAAATATAATTACAAGTTAGGAAATAAAATTAAAGAATCCTTTTCTTTTTTACATTTTATTTTTTATTTTGAATTTACTACATAATATAAATATTTCATATTTACATTTTATATTTTCAACTTTTATTTTATTTTACATTTTGTATTTTTCTATTTTTGTTTTCTACGTAGTAGTTTTTCGTACTTTTGATACCTTTTAATGGTTGAGAGGGAGAATTGAACAATTCGATCGGGTTTGTGGGATTATTTAACTCTTTTAAATTGTCACGTCATATCTGCACTTGGAACCTTATCGGGGTGACATGGTGGTGATCGATCGGAAGTGCCTATACCATACAGACAGTGTCATTTTGGTAATTTAAATGAAATTCGCGTCTTCAGCTAAATGAGCATCAATGCACTTTTAGTGAGCATCAAACATATTTTATTGATCATTAGAAGCCTAACAATGAGCATCGTGATCTATACTTCATATATTCTAAATCACTTTCTTTTTCATATTTTTTCTTTTATAAAGTCTTATTAAATTCTATCTATAATCAACTCCTGTGAACTTCAATATGTGAATCTAATAAAAGATGTTACTTTTGAAATATGCATTAATATGACATTTTAAAAATGAGCATAAATGAGCATCAATTGAGCATACGTAACATACAAAATGAGCATTGATATGAAAATCATAACTTTTTTAGTTGAGCATCAAAACATTTACACTAAGCATTAAATCCCTTCTATTGATTATTAAAAACATGCAATTGAGTAGCATGGTCTGTTCTCTAGTATCTATAATTAACCCTTACGTAAATCTTATGTAATATGATACTTTTGAAATATGCATTAATGTAACATTTCAAAATGAGCATAAAATCAGTACAAAATGAACATATATAACTTACCAAATGAGCAATGACATGATATGAAAATTATAAGCTTTAATAGTTGAGCATAATGACATTTTCATTGAACATCAAACTTCTTCTATTGAGTATCAGAAACATGCAATATAGTATCACGGTTTATGCTCCCATGTGAATCTAATATGATACTTTTGAAATATAAATTATAATGGCATTTTAAAATGAGCAAAAAATCAGTATCAGATTAACGTACGTAACTTACAAAATGAGAATCGAAAAAATCAAAAGCTCGTTTGAATTCTCTAATGTGATTAAATGTTCATTTGTGCACATATATTATAATGACAATTATAGTCACGGAACTAGTCACGGAATCGTCCGTGACTAATTTCACATTTAAAAAAAAACCCGCCAGAGGCAAAATTGGGTTGGCCGGAACAGGTTAGTCACGGATTACATCCGTGACTAACCCTAGTCACGGATTACATCCGTGACTAACCCTAGTCACGGACGTAGTCACGGACATATCCGTGACTATTTTTTTTAAACAATCTGTGACTAAACCGTGACTAGAACCGTGACTACGGTCCGTGACTACAAGCGATTTTTTGTAGTGATTATAGTAATGACAATTATAATAAGTTTGTATGAAAAATAATTTATAGTCTTTCGTTATGGAATTAAAAATTAAATATAATCGAGTTCTATTTATAACGTTTACCCATGCATTTATATTTTACAATATACTCATTTTAGTATAACACAAACTCATGTTAGTAATTAGCACATAATATTTAATAAACTAATAAATATCCATCTATCTTAAAATTAAAAATAGAAAAATAAAACATTAATACCTTAAATGTTCATCATAAATTAAAATCAATGGATAAGGTGGTTAAGAAAAAGGAAAAAGAAATTAAAAAAAAAGAGACGTAAAAACAAAAAACCAAATAGTACAGCCATATGCGCGTAAAGAGAGCATATGCACGTAAATTAAAGATCTACTTAAAAAGGAGGCCGACAAAGCTGCGGCTGGGTAAAGAGAGCATTTGCACGTAGTCCACTCACGCACGGAAGAATAGGGACGGAGGAATCACATCCATACAAATAAGAAATACAAAAATACCCGGATGTGCGGTGAGCATCGTACATCCGAGTGTACAATATAATTTACATCGATTAGATTGTTACATGCAAAAGTGATCTCTTTTCGAGTTTGATGTGCCAATTAAAGTTATTTTTAATTTAAATGGAAAGTTGGGCATTTTGGACGGGTAGAGAGACATGTTTGACCCTTTAGCCATAAAATTGTAGACACACTCCCAATTTTTTTTTAAATTTATATAAGTGTAACTTGTAGCTTATAAACATAACTTCTTCTATAATGTGTGGGTGATGTTATGCGTGTTTTTTTATCCCGATAGTGGTCCACCAAAATCAGTGGACCAAATGCCGGAGAACATTTGCCAAATTATATAGATGAATAATAAAAATACATACAGAAAGTGGGACTAGACCAACACCTCGAGAACCCAACCAATTACATCAAGATAAAAAATCATTAAAGAACAGGAAATCAACACCAAGCTAATTAAAAACGGAAAGTTATATATTACGTATGAAATACATTTTGTATGAAAATAGAGCATGTCAAAGATAAAATGCACAACTTAGGCCAAAAGTTATATACTACGTATCTGATTTGAGAATTTAAAAATTAGCATTCATGAGTAGATGTACCTATGTGATATTGCTTGGGATCTCTTTAACCTATGAATACAAACTCAACTTAATTTACTTTAATAACGGATAAAAAAACTCGTAATAAAATTTAGATTTTCAAATTTTTAAAACATGTAGAGAAAATTTTGTGACAAGCTAAAAGAAAAAATAAGACTGATAAAATGAGACAGAGAGAGTAACGTAATGTGTGTGTGTGAGTATGGACGTGCACGCACACATATATGTGTGTTTGTACGTATGTACATAGCTGTCACATTTCTTATATAAAATAAAATTACAAGATTTGCAATTAAAGTTAAAGAATCACTTTTGTTTTACATATTATTTTTTATTTTTAATTTACTACATAATACAGATATCTCATTTTTGTATTTTATATTTTCAACTTCAATTTTATATTTGTATATATGTTTTATTTTCTATTTTCTATTTTTCATACTTTTGATACTTTTTAACAGTTAAAAGGGAGAATTGAACAATTATATTATGCCTTTTTCAATACATCCTGATCCTCTAATTTAATTATGAATTATACAAAGTACTACCTCCGTTCCCATTTTAACTTCCAAATGGGTTTGGCACAAAGTTTAAGATAGTGGATATTGTGTGGTGGAGAGTTGTGCAGAAGAGAGAGAAATGTGTAAGAAATGTTGTGAACCACAAATTCTTTAACAAAAAGAGAAAGTGGAAGTTTTAATTGGAACGGACGAAAAAGGAAAGATGGAAATTTATTTAGGAACGGAGGGAGTATATCATTTGCATAAGAGGTTTCTATTGTGTGGTAGCACTTTTGCACACCTTATGCTACGTTCATCATAGTCCTAAAGTATAAGTGTCCTCGATTAGACAGGTTGAGACATGCTAGACGAATTAATTTAAAGAAAATTGGGCAAAATAGGAGTAAATCATGAACACTAAAAAAGGATTAAATATGTTTTGTTCCTAA